GGTGTAGAAAGTGATCAACTAGTAAATATTTTGTAGTTTTGCCGTATGTTGTGATCGGAGGTGGCCTAGCACTCAATGACACAGGGTTTATACTGGTTCAGGCAACGTGCCCTACGTCTAGTTTGAGTCGGTTGGTGACTTTATTCCTGAGCCCAGGTGCTCAAAGTTTGCAGTGGGTTTACAAACGAGAAGGAGAAAGATGGGTTGTATGAGAGGTCCGGTCGGGCTCCGATCGGAAGGGCCGAGAGCGACACGAGCTCCACAATGAGCTAAGTGTTCAAGCGTGTGCCTAAGGTCTGAACCTGGCGGTTCTGTGGTCTAATGAATCTGAAATAACTTGTATGAACTTGGATCCACTTCCCTTTGGGAGAGAGCACATCCCCTTTTATAGATGAAGGGGATGGCCTTACAAGTGAGAGGGAGAGAGTACGTATGCTTCTAAACCTTGTTGCCCACGCCGGCAGGTACAGGATGATGGTAGGCGCCCACAACACTGTTGGATGTCGGATGCATGTGGGAGGTTACATCGTCTTGTTTCGGGTATGGCAGATGTTGGTACCTGTATACACTGTTGATGCCTAGAGGCATGTGAGGAGTTTCACCATGTTCACTCGGTACGGTAAATTCTGGCGCCCACAACACTGTCGATGCCCAGAGGCATGTGGGGGGCCTTACCATGTGGGAGTTTAATGGTGCCCACAATACTGTAGGAAAAAATGCCGGCGCCTACAACACTGTTCGTGTCAGGGCGGTTGCAGAGTACTATTCCTACGGGTGTACAGGGTATGGTCCCTGGTATCGTGGTTTGACTTGTGCGCCATGCCTTGCTTTCTCCGTTCGTTCCCTGATCCTTTTCGGGCGGGCGTCCCCGGTCGGTTGGTCGCAGTCGGCTCTGGTTGTGCCAGTTGGAGAAGAGCGGTGAGCAGGGCTTCTGCGTACCCCGATCGGAGACATGGGGTCGGAGTCAGAAGTAGTGCTTTAGCTAGGCCTTCCGGTCGAAGAGGCCATCCGGAGGCGGGCTGGAGACCGAAGCGAGCGCTCCGGTCGGAGAGGTGGGCCAGAGTCGGAAAGCGGGTGCCGTTCCTCCTTGGCCAGGCCTTCTGGTCGGTGATTGGATCGCCCTTCTGGCCTGTCGTTCCGATACTTGGGCTGGCTCATGAGTTGCGCGTTGTCTGCTTGGGCCAAGCCTTTGTTGGGAAGCCGGTCCGCGAGGGACCCCGGGTTTATAAACCCGACAGACGGTAAGAGGGGCAAATTTGTCCTTATCAAAAAGAAATTTGAACAAAATGTCTTAAGTAGGTCACCCGCAGCGAAGCGCGGGCATAAGTGGATAGTTATCTATAAAAGTAGTTTCGTTCTAGTGAAAACACCTCTCGTGTGATAGTGGATTGTGAGTGTTTGGCTCTATGTCGTGGCCAAAGGTTTTCGCCATTGTATTAGAAAAAAAAGTGGTTTCGTCGATGAGGAAGTGAACCACTTCTTGGCAACTACAACTATATTTCCTACTAACATATTCATCCTGCCCCGTACTCCCTCTGTCCCGCTTTAAATGTCGTTGTGGGAGTGGAGTAGATCGTCTACATTCACAATTGATTGGATGCACCTGGACACACGTACGTCCACACTTAAAGAATCTTTGCTGCACCAATGAAAAGCTAAAACGTCAGTCAATGCGGGACAGAGGGAGTAGGTGGCACCAACGGTGTTCCATCGCCGCCGCCATCTTCTAATTATTCCAAGAGCAAAGATCTAAATAATACAAACAAACTTTTCTCTAAAAACAATATAGGCACACATACGTTTACATATACACGTGCACCCTCACCTTTTATGAATACCTCTAAGACACTACCGCATACAAATTGCATAGTAGACAGCATTAACTAGCCACAATAGAGGTTGCATATGGTGCCATCCAAGAATGATTTTATGTACACTTTGACCATCAGAATTATTTTTCAATCTGATCTAATACAACTATCTCTAAAATGTTGTGATTATTAATTAAACAAGGTCCTCTAAGAGCATCTCCAAGAGTCTTTCTAAAACTCACTCTCTAAATCATCATTTGAAGAGTCATTTACACAAAAATCGTTTTATATATCTTTTCATGCTCCAACAGGTTTTCTATATCTTATTCTCACTATCTATATTTGGCTAATGAGAAATTCAAAATAGAAGATGGTTATATTTAGATAACCAATTAATTGTTAGTTTTCTACCATCGCATTTTTCTGGTTTTATTCTAGGATTTAACGGCGCTATGCTTGCAATGGTAGGCGATGTCCCGTCGACGACGAGACGCCTGTGATGACTTCGTGAATCTCAAGATTTGCCGGCTCAATCATTCGGTGGTGCTCATAGGTATAGGATTTACGTATGTGTATTCATAAATATGAGTTTGCATGCGTATTATGAGTGTCTAAGTTGTACGGTGTAATTTTTTAAAAAAAAATCTCCATTCCTAACAATCAGGTAGAATAGAGAGTCCCTTAGAAATCTTCCTAATATAAGTATAAACTCCTGTTTAAATTCCAGCAAAGTCAACTTGGCCAATTGATACACTTTTGTTTAGCCCGTTTACACTTTTGTTTAGGCCGTTGCCGCTCCCTTTACGTGGATTCACTGAACCTGGACAGATTTGACCTTGTCTTTCATCCGGCTCTGCACTTGTCCTCCTTGCCATTCTTCTTTAATAAAAAAAAACGGCGGAACTTTCGTTGCCTGAGTCCGAGCTGCACCCCTGACCCAATCACCCAAGGCCACAATTGCGTCCACATTCCAAACAATCCTCTGCCATCCAATCTGAAAGATAATAGCAGTATCCCATTTGTGGGGCCCGGGAACTCCAAAGGGCAAAGGCGAGGAGGAAAAGTTCTCGAGGTCGACCAAGTGCCGCTGAGTATTGCAGTAAGAAAGAGAGATCTCTGTTCTTTTACAGTCGCTTTTCTTTTGTTTTACCTGGAGCAGAATTTTTTTTGGATAGCGTAGTCGTAAACTTTGAGTTCCTGCCTTGTTTATTCCGTTTATTAGTACGTTCTTGGACTTGGATGATTGGTTCTTTGCGTTAAATGAAGCTGCTTTCCGAATTCTAATCAGAACTAATCCTCTTTGTGCGATAGGATTATTGTATTACTGCTTGGTGATCATTTAGCCGGTCATTTGGCTCGATCAGATCGATTGGGCTAGATGCAATCACCCATAAAGGAGGTGTTGGTCGCTTGTTCAGAGAAACTACCAATATAAGAATAGTTTATGCTTTGTTCTTTCGATGAGTTTTACAGACTGAACTTTTGTCAAAAGGTTTAGCTCACTGAAATTCAGAGGTTGCCATTTTTAGTTGCACATATCCTCTGACAGCCTTACTTCTAAAGGCAGAGGTCGACGTTGTATTAACAAAATAATGATTTCTGACGTATTTTGGAGGAAAGAATAGGGTAAGTGACGCGTTCGTTGAGTGTGAAATTTGATCCTGACAGAGCAGGTGACCAAACATTCTAGGTTCTATGACCTGATCTGTACTGAATAGTACAGTACAATGCAAGGCACTGGCTCATTGGCCAGCCTGAGCTTGCTAGTGTGCTTTCCTAAGCGAGTGATGAGAGCCATCAAGAGTGCCTGGAATCTGTTAGGCACGAATGCGGTGCGCCTGCGCTTTAGAACATTCCACCTTGTTGCCTCATCACATATGCATGTGTGGATCTGACTGAAGAACTAGAGAACTCGGCCAACTTTTTTGACGCGTGACTTAGAGATCTTGGACCATGTTGATACGGAAATTGACAGCCCATGATTCATTCATGGCTAGGAATTTCAAGCCAATATATATAGTGTATCGTTTTTCTTTTCTGTGATGACTATTTGTCGAGCTTGAACTTGAAATTCTGATACATCTACAGATGATGGTTGCGACTCGATCTAACAACCGCATTATTGAGCATTGCTTAGGTGTACTGTGATGTCGGTCTTTAGATGGTTGATGATAGGTTTTCAGCTGTGTGAAATATGGATCGAACATCTACGTAAATTGACTTCCTTTAAAAAGAGTTGAATTTGATGCTTCTTTGTGAGATGTGGTTGTTAGCTTGAAAGGGATTTGATTTGACATCATGAATGTCTTTTGTTCTCTTGAACAATTTTATAGTGAAAATGTACCTTTCATTCATGCATGAAAACTTGAAACAGCGACCTTCAAAAAAAAACTTGAAACAGCCACTTTCTACACGTATGCTACTACAGAAAAGCTGAAGATTGTAGGCTCTCCGGTTTCCCACTGGAAAATAAGGAACATGCCATCATAAATGGAAATTGTTCATAGCTCAGTTAGTTTTCATGCTACTGTTCTTCTACTCGGTAAAGTATAAACTTGCTAGTAGTACAAAATCATGCTACTGTTCTACTAGCAACTTACTCGATAAAGTATGGCCTTGATCTCTGGCTGGAGAGCCTTCTTGCATCTGCATATGCGTATATATAATGGGCAGTCCCTAGCTTCATCACGACGCAGCGAAATAGGCCTTCTTCACAAGTGCTTCTGCTAACAGGCATCGTCGCATCGCTGTGTAGGTTTTGTCTCTGACAATCCTTAGCTGCATATATGTTTACACTTTATACACCATGATGGAGTAACAATCAAAAGTTGGCTTTCTAAGAAACAACTCATCAGTTGTTTGCTGAGACCAGAGTGCTTGTTTTAGTATCGTACGTCCATTCGTGTGTTCCTTCATCTGATCATCTCATTTTCAGATCTGGCTTTCGTTAGGTGCACCATGAATATGCATGCAGCTGATGTTGTCTGTTCTTTCGTGAAAGTATTGGATTTTTTCCATCTGAAACTTGAAGAATTGATGAACATATAGCTTGTATTCCATGTACTACCCAGTGTATTGACGATATCTTCTTGTGTTAACATGCTGCCAATGTGATTCCTTTTGTGATTTCCTACTCATCATCATAGATATTCCTGAAACCAGCCGTCCATCCCACTGGGAACACCGCAGATGCCGCGAACGGTGTCTGATGGGGGAGAAGACGACCACGGCGCCGACGTTGCTAGCCGGACGTCATCACACCGCCGCATGGAGCACGGGCATGGGTATAAGGTCGGCGTCCCGCCGAAGAAGAACTTCTTTACCGAGTTCTCTGACGCGGTGAAGGAGACGTTCTTCGCTGACGACCCACTGCGGCAGTACAAAGACCAGCCCAAGTCCAAAAAGATCTGGCTCGGCCTGCAGCACATCTTCCCGGTGCTTGACTGGAGCAGACACTACTCCCTCGGCAAGTTCAAGGGTGACTTCATCGCCGGGCTCACCGTTGCCAGCCTCTGCATACCCCAGGTCAGTTGAGTTATATACCTCGCGTCAGCAGCAGCACGGTTCATGCACTGATGCTATCAGATACAATCTGTGGCCTAATAGAGGGCACTAAATGACGGCGCAAGGTGAGACTCGGTACATGATCTTGTCGAAGATATCGAATGATGGGAGGAGGTCAAAGCGTTTGGCTGTTGTTCACCATGGGAAGCCGGAGCTGCTTTTTGCTGCTTGTGGTCAGTTCGGCACTGAGGGCACGCGGTGGGCGTCGTTGGCATTTGTGTTACCTCTGTGTGTTAGTCGTCAGGGCTATGATGTTCTAGTGTTGTGGGTATTTTCTGTGTTTAAATCTGTGCCTATGTAAGGTTTTCAGGCCTGGTTTCCCTTATAAACTAGGCCAATTCTAGGCCTGGTTTCCCTTATAAACTAAGGCCAATTCTATTCTTCTTAATTAAAAGGCAGAGCTCCTGCTATTACTTTCAAAAAAAACTGTGGCCTAACAAAACCGTGCTTTCAACCACAGGACATCGGTTATTCTAAGCTTGCTAACTTGCCAGCAGAGGTTGGATTATGTAAGTGCACTCATTCACATATGCATCTCTTCGTTTTAATTGAGATCACTTTAAACTATACTGATCAGAGATGTGGTCGCCATTTTTACAGACACTAGCTTCGTGCCGCCTCTGATATACGCGGTGATGGGCAGCTCCAGGGATGTAGCCATCGGTCCAGTGGCCGTGGTGTCGCTGTTGCTCGGTACTCTCCTTCAGAATGAGATTGACCCCAAGACACACCCGCTTGAGTACAGGCGGCTAGCGTTCACTCACGACCTTTTTTCGCAGGGGTCACTCAGGCAGCGCTTGGATTCTTCAGGTGAGCGGCCCTAGTGATTGTTAACCTGTCAGTTCGTAGCTGCTTTGGCATGAGCATCTCATCTAGTCTAAAACTCAACTCTGCCACAGGCTAGGGTTTATCATAGAGTTCTTGTCTCATGCTGCCATTGTCGGATTCATGGCCGGTGCTGCCATCACCATTGCTCTTCAGCAGCTGAAAGGATTCCTTGGAATTGCAAACTTCACCAAGAAATCTGATATTGTATCTGTCATGAAATCAGTTTGGGGAAATGTTCACCATGGGGTAAGACACTGTACCATGTGGATCTTTTTACCTGCCTAATGAAAACCACGATCGTTGAGACTTAGAGTGTTTGACGCAATATATGTGTGTGCTATTTATTGCAGTGGAATTGGCAGACAATACTGATAGGAGCGTCCTTCCTGGCATTCCTTCTGGTTGCCAAGTACATTGTAAGACAATACATTACATGCTCCAAAATGGCAAGAACTCTTCTTGGTTTTCTTTTGACTATATTTGATCACGCCATTTCTTTGAATAATTCAGGGAAAAAGGAATAAAAAGCTCTTCTGGGTGTCTGCAATCGCACCTCTCACTTCGGTGATCATATCCACATTTTTTGTGTACATCACTCATGCAGATAAGCATGGTGTTGCAATTGTAAGTCATACTTGACTGTTCTTGATGTTAGCCATCGTAAAAATATGCAAGTGTGTCTTATTAGTTGAAGCTAACAATAAAGATCATCACTGCATAACTGCAGGTCAAGAACATAAGGAAAGGCATCAACCCACCTTCATCTAGTCTCATATACTTCACTGGCCCATACTTGGCAACAGGATTCAGAATTGGGGTAGTAGCTGGAATGATAGGCCTAACGGTGAGACAAACCCTTTGATAAGGAAACAGACTTCTTAAGCTTTGATGTTCAAAATTATGATGACGTGGAAAAAATTTCTACGACAAAAAAATGTGCTAATTAATCAACTGATGCAAACTTATCAGGAAGCAATTGCAATTGGAAGAACATTTGCTGCCCTCAAGGATTACCAGATAGATGGGAATAAAGAAATGGTGGCTCTAGGAACCATGAACATTGTTGGTTCATTGACTTCTTGCTACATAGCCACAGGTAATAATTAATTCAGGAAAAAAACAATTCATAGCCACAAGTAACAATTATTCTGATAGAAGTCATTCATTGTAGGTTCTTTCTCACGGTCAGCAGTTAATTACATGGCTGGCTGCAAAACAGCAGTGTCAAATGTTGTTATGTCAACTGTCGTAATGCTTACATTGCTGTTGATCACCCCATTGTTCAAGTACACTCCAAATGCCATCCTTTCCTCAATCATCATATCAGCAGTGCTTGGTTTAATTGACTATGAGTCGGCTTACCTTATCTGGAAAGTTGACAAACTGGACTTTCTAGCATGCATGGGAGCATTCTTTGGAGTCATATTTTCATCAGTGGAGTATGGCTTGCTCATTGCGGTGTGAATCACAACTATTTCGTTTATGCTACCAACAATTGAGTTCTTATATAGTATACAAAGAGCTGATGACTGTAAAACCTTTTGTGAATAGGTTTCGATATCTCTTGCTAAAATTCTTCTCCAAGTAACACGGCCAAGAACAGTTTTACTTGGAAACCTTCCACGAACAACTATATACAGGAATGTAGAACAATATCCTGATGCTACCAAGGTTCCAGAGGTGCTAATTGTTAGAGTGGACTCAGCTATATATTTCACAAACTCCAACTATGTTAAAGAGAGGTAAAATGCTTGTATTCACCATGAGCTTCTGCCACAGGAATGATTACTACTATAGGGTTTCATAGTAGCATATTTGGCTTTCTTTTTGTTATTACCATGGATACAGCCTTTTTTGACAAAAAAGAGGTGAACCATGCTATACTTTAATAGTTCAAGCAGAATGTACAAGCATTAAAAACAAAGCATAAGATGCTAGTGCTTAGAAGAATATTTCACATAAACCTTTTATATATCTATACTGCAGATTAGGATTTGGCCTGCAGGGCAGATGTAGCTAAGTGTTTTATGGATCTGTGAATCATACTTTGAAATTTTGATATATAATTTGATGGATGTGATAACTAGCATTCTTTTTATATCTATTCGAATTGACTCATCCATAGTTTGGAGGGTAACCTCAATGCAAAGTCTTTTATCTGATCAGCAAAGTCTTTTATCTGATCAGAAAAAGAAAGTCAACAGTTCCTTGAAAGTGCAAGGCTACATCAGATGCTCTTCTAAGATTGGCTACATGTGCAAATACGATATGTGATTAGTATTCTAGTGGCATGAGATTGCATTAGATGCATTATTGAGTCATGTTCAGTATTCTAATAGAGAATGTTACAATTTAAAATCAGCTAAAGAGGAAAGCAGTGCTTAATTAGAATCTAATTTTCAGAATCCTGAGGTGGCTAAGAGATGAGGAGGAGCAACAACAGGACCAGAAGTTGCCAAAAACTGAGTTTCTAATTGTTGATCTGTCTCGTAAGTCACAAGAACATATCTGACTATATGCTATCTTTTTACTTAAGTTCCATATAGTGATTGAAAACATTGTTCCGACTCTCAACAGCTGTAATTGATATCGACACAAGCGGAATCCACGCTTTGGAGGAGTTGTTGAAAGTTCTTGAAAAACGCAAAATTCAGGTAAGACGCCAGATCTCATAACAAGCATTTACAACTACTAGCAGTCTGGTAGTGATACTGCTAACATAAAAATTGTCACTGAAGGACCCCTCACTAAGATCAAAATCCGTTCCTTTTACTTACAGCTGGTTCTTGCCAATCCTGGGCCAGCGGTGATCCAGAAGCTCCGCTCAGCTAAATTCACGGACATGATTGGTGAAGACAAGATATTCCTCACGGTCGGCGACGCCGTGAAGAAATTTGCCCCCAAGGTGGCGGATAATGTCTGAAGGAGTTTCATAGTCACGTACAGTATGAGTAAGGAGAAGTCTATCTATTCTTTGGCAAAGTCCAGTGGACACTGGACAGTGTGGATTTATAGAGCAGAAGCAGAACAGAACGGGAGTAAATAACATGGTTTGCAGAATGGTAGTAAATAAAGAAGATGCTCCGGAGTTGGAGTGCATCACGTTTGCGAAATGTGGTGGGATAGAAAGCAGATGGTGGCCTAGTTGTAGTTGTGCGTCTATGTCAGTCCTTGTGGTTGTGGTCTATTCCGCGTTGGCAAGCACTTAGGTGATGGAGATCAAAGGTTTGATGGATCAGAAGATATGGATGCCTGATGATAATTAACATATCATCACTGATCGTGAAAGAAGAGTTACCTGTTTGGGATTTCAGGTGTCTGTATCTTACAGTAATTAGCCCCTTTCCTTGTAATTTCAGGTTTTATGATAAGGTTTTACATTTTTTTTAATGAAAGATAAGGTTTTACATTTGGCTTATATATGTAAATTCTGTGATGCTGATGCATTCGTAAGTGTTCCCTGACCAAAAAAGAAGAAGGGGGTGCAAAAACGTGATTGTGAAGAGGAATTTGTTGAAGAGGGGCATTCTGACTTTGTTTTCTTCGTTCCTACTGGGCATGGGCATGCATGTGTAAGATACTTCGGGCCCGAGTTAACTGGTAATGAAGCAGAGAGACACGAGGCTCACCTGACCGACAGGAACCACCTAGCCTGGCCGAGATGCTGACCGCCAGTCGCCACAGCCGGCCGCCAGGGCGCCAGTGTAGGGCAGGAGGAAGCCGCGCGGTTGCTTTTTTTTCGCGAGCGGGTTTATACCCATGTTTCATTAAGAAGAAAAGAGTTTAACAACCTCGCGAGAGAGGCGGCGAGAGGCAACCTCCAACCAGCAGGGGACCTACACTACTGGATACATAGCCGAGATATTACATGTTTACAAAGTGTTGCGACCAAAGCTCGGACAAAGCAACCAAAGGCAGGAACCCAGCGAGTGCCCAACCAAAGCCGCGGTTGCTCGCCCGCCGACGGGAGCCGTAGGCCCGCGTTCTCGGCTCTCGCGGTCTCGTCTCGCCAAGGCGCCCGGCCGGCGGGCGGCCGCCAATGATTTGGCCATGGCGGCCCGACGTGTGGGCCGCGGATAGTCGACATAGCCCAGAGGGTTTAGGTTAGCCGCGCGGGCCGTGGCCTTCTGGGCTTGGTCCAGCCGGAATTTGGGCGCAATGAATGAGCCCATCACTTTTCGTCTTCGTCCCACCCGCACCCGCCGCCGTCGGGCGCCTCGTACGCAATCCCCACCGGCCACCGCGCGCCTAACACAGAATCCATCCCCCTCACCTCACCTCCGCGGCTCTGCCGCTCCACCTCTCGCGATAGCCACCACAAGCCCAAAAAAATCCACGGAATAGTCGCAGCTACAGCCGGAAACCGCCCCGATCGCCTCCAGGATAACAGCGTGAGCCGGAAACTAGCGCAGCAGGTGCGGCAGTGCGTCACCATTGCTGGCCGCTTCAAGCCCTTGCAGCCCGCCTCCCTTGGAGTGTCCCTACTGGCACGCGGACCGCGCCTCCGGATTCCTTCGCTTCGTCCCGTGGAGGCATTCCCACGAACACCTGCGTGGCATGTCCGCCGCGCTCCTGCACGCGCCGTCTCGAGCGTCCCACACCTACGCCACCGCAGGACGCACCTGAAATCCACTTGATCAAGTCCTGCGATAGCAAGGTGGGTAAGGTGCAACCACGCATAAGGTGAATTCCATGCATGTGCTCAGCCAATGAGAACTAGAGATTGGTGTTTCTGCGTGTACCTCGATGTTGATACATCTGGGCAAGGCTTCGAGTGGCCAGCACTCAACTCTGCCATGGACTGGTGCGATCAGATGCTGAGCGATGGTGTCCGGCCAAAATTTCAGTTATCTACATTCTACAATGCCGGCTGTCAGTGGTCAGTGCATGGTACAAGGATGCGGATATGTTGAGCCAATCATGAAGAAGGTTTTCAATTGAGTGACACCCAGCGCATTCATCTATACAGTGACTTGGATTCAGCATCTGCGGTATCCTGTTGAATCATGGATTAATAGTTAATGGTAGGGGATGGGGTTGTTTATGAGCCCAATAGCAATGTGCTCGGTTCTAATCAATGGATTATGCCGTAGGTGGGAGGTTGAGGCATTGGAAGATTTAATTATACAGATGAAAGGTCACATTGATCTGACAGAAGTGTATCCATATACGGATGTACTGCCAGTTTGTACTCTGTCACAATGGCTGCACTACGGGATTCCTGGCTTCTGAGCAAATATATACAACATGCACTTCTTGTTTGTTCCGAATTTGTGTTTCGGGGATGCTCTAGGTTGGTGTTGGACTGTTCCACAGGATGGCAAGAGATGGCCTGCTCATTAATACATTTACATGCAATGCCTCAGCAAATGATCGAGAACAGTATAGTTGAATCTGCATTTGTTTATGGTATCAAGATGAAATGGGGATATTGGTATGTTTCACTGAACCGTAGGATACAGTATGAGATAATCAAGGACTTTGCATTATTGGTGAGGACAGGAAGGCACTGTTAATGATTAATGTGTTGAAGCAGGACTTTTCAGCCATCCACGTGACATAAAACACCCTCATTGAAATTACTGTGGCTCAGCAGGCACTACTAGTGCTCTGCATTCTGGAGTATATAAAAGGCTCTGAAACTGTGAATCTGATAAGTGGCTATACTGAAGCAATGAACTGACTTGATTTTTCTTTCTCGAATATTCACCATGTTCCATGCTTGATCATCGGTTATATCTAAACAAAGGTACCTAGCTCTGTCTTTCAACTTATTTTCAGATATCAGCAAGGTGTCAAGGTGTTTTGATAAACCACATTGATCATTCCAATCGTTGCTTTTCTTAGTTCAGTGCTACCAGAACTTATTAATAATATGGCATTTTCAGCAATTGTGAATCAGTGAATACTACTGAATAGTGCTTTGAGATACCAAAGTGAATGAAGGATTATAGTGCCAATTCCTCCTAGGTTGGTTTTGTTTTCATGAATGATTATGGTGCCTCCGTTTTTTTGCAGCTAGTTGTGTTATTATGTTCGCTGGTTCTCTTAGAGTGGTTGATAGTCGTTCGGTCCCAAATTGTTTGTATGTAATTGCTTAATTGTAAACTTTGTTTGATCCCTGTGAGACTAGTTTTGCAGGGATCGTGTTGGTCTTGGTAAGCCTTGGCTTACTAAGTCCATGTGTGTTATAACCCTCTTTTCCTCTTAATATGGAAAATGCACTTAGACACGGTCATGAAAAAAAAAGATTATAGTTTACCTAATGGCTGATCTTATACTGAACTAATCTTAGCTTTCTCGAGATATGTAACTGGGTAAACGGAGGCACCTATATCTGTTCACTTTTACTTGCCTTTTAGCATATCATTGTCTTTAATGAACTTCAGTCGTCATATCATTTGCTTTCTTAGGGCCTGTTTGACACAAGGGGCTAACAGTTAGCATCTATTTTGTATGCCAAGGAAAACATGTGCTAATTTTTGGCTAATAAGAGCTAATAGAGCTAATTGGTGGTTAAGACCATTAGTCCTTATTAGCCCATGTTTGACCTATTATCATAAGATGGGCTATTTTTTGTCTTGGGATCCGAACAGTTACTCCCTCGGCCATGGAAAACATGCATACATGTATTTCAAAATTTAAATTTTGTTATCTTTGAACAACAATTAGCCTAATTATATGAAAAGTCTATAGTACAAAAGCGGTTACATTACATTTCATATTTAGAAATAATTTTCTAATATTCAAACTTTTTTATCATATATTACAAGAGAAATTAGCGGTCAAAGTATGATCTTGAAACCACACCAAGTCAAATCACGGCTTCTATTTTAAGACGGAGAGAGTATATTTTAAGAAAGTTAATAAAATATGTAATAAAATCTACTACGACAGATATAAATGCATGCTTTCATGCATATTTGTGGCATAATTTTTACAAAGTTGATTGCATGCATGCGTTCTTGGAAAGGGGGCAGACAAGGAAGAGGAATAATTTGAACCAGATTATTTTTGGGGGGGAACTATGCCATGGAACTTCCCATATGCTTTGTGAGGTGGCTCAAAAGTTAAATGAAACAGCTTTTTAAGCTAAGGGGGTATTTAGATCCAGTAAGTAAAATTTAGTAGGTGTCACATGAGGTGTTGCATGGGGTGTTCGGATATTAATAAAAAAACAAATTATATAATCCGTCAGTACTCCACGAGACGAATTTATTAAGCCTAATTAATCTATCATTAGCACATATTTATTGTAGCACCACATTGTCAAATCATGGGTTAATTAGACTTAAAAGATTCGTCTTGCAAATTAGTCGCAAACTATGCAATTAGTTTAGTAATTAGTCTATATTTAATACTCCATGCATGTGTCTAAATATTTGATGGGACAGCGACTAAAATTTAGGAGCCCTCTAAGAGAGAGAAAGGGTTTCGATGTTCTATCACTTTGTTTTCTTTTAATAAATGCTGCCACTAGCGGCTATTGCCCCTAAAGGCACACGACGCCATAGTGCTGTTGTGGAGCCTAGCTGTCAATTGCATTTTCTTTCGGTCAATCAAGTCTGCAAAAGGACACGAGAAAAGATGAAGAGAGCTTGTACTTGATTTGAGGACTCTACGCTCTCAAATAATGGTCGTACGTAAGATGCATCTACTTGCATTGCTTTGTTAAATTGTTGATGAACTTTGTGCTACCGTACATGTGGCAGCTTGCAGTGGGCACACAACATCAAATACGTGGCCAGTAGAACTGGCGGCTCATGCACTATCCGTGACCTTTCTTTCCTGATCACGTTGCATTAAACCTTTGATCTTTTTCATTGTTCAGCACGTACTATTTCTGATGTGGGCACACCCTATTAAATAGAGTGGACAGCGCCGAACTGGTGACTCATGTACTGTCCGTGATCTACTACTTCA